TTTTACAGATGTAACTGAGGTTCCTAGTTAGGTGAGCCTGAGCTAACCGAGAGGGATATAATCTTGGATGAGCCTGACATAATAAGGGAAGCGCTTAAACAGGGTTAGCAGCCAAAGACTCTCTCAGGTGCTAGCTGTAAGAGGCAAGCTGGGACTAGAAGCAGTACAGCACCTGCCTAGCAAGCATGAAGTCCTGAGTTCAAAACCCAGTACCGCCAAGAAAACAAAAATCATGGCAAACTGCCATGAATTCTGTAGCTTTAGGAAATCAATTCAGATTCGTCCCGTCAAGCCACAAGAACAGAACATGGTTTGGTTAGCAAGTTGATTTCACTCTGATAAAAGGACTGAGCTAAGCACATCTGGACTTCTGTCCTACAAAAACAGTGATAATAATGAAATAAGCCATGAATTTCATGGCAATTTATTACACAACAGGAAACTAATATCATGGAGAACGCCGGAGGAGACAGAGCTCTGACCGACACTGGTGACAGACCTGACTCTAGCCAATGAGCTCTTCTCAGCTGAGCCCTGACTTTTGGCCTTCCCTGTTTACCTCTGCGTGGTCCCATTTTAGCAAGAATCTTGCTGGGTCAGTCCAGCAATGCTTCCCCAACCCTGACATCTGATCAAATTCATTCTCCCCCACCCATGGTTTCTTCCTACCCTGGCCTGCCTTCAGCAAGAATCCTGCTAGATTGGTTCAGCCAGAATTATTCTCACCCTGAGGTTTACTCTCAGTAATGCTCCATCCACTGACCTCTACTCTGCTCCTTGGCTATAAATCTCCACTTGTCCTTGCTGTATTCAGAGCTGAACCCAATCTCTCTCCCCTCTAAGAATCCCAAGCTAGTAGCCCAACTTGAACAAGTTTTGTAAAACCGGGGTTTGACCTCAGGACCTTGCACTTGATAGGCAAGTACTCTACCACTTGAACCTTCAGCCATTCTATTTGCTATTTGTTTTTTCAGATAAACTCTCAATAACTTTGTCTAGGCTGACCTTAAACCACACTTCTGCCTCCTGAGTAGCTGGGATTACAGGCCACCATGCCTGGCCCCTTTTCTTTTCTTTTTCTTTCTTTTTTTTTCAGTGCTGGGTTCCAAAGATCTAACCCAGAACCCTCTACCACTGAGTTACATCTTTTTTTTTTTTTTGGTATCACTGGGGTTTGAACTCAGGGCCTCACACTTGTTAGGCAGGCACTCTACCACTTGAGCAACTCTGCAGTCCTATTTTATGTTGGGTGTTTTCAAGATAAGGTATCCCAAACTGTTTGCCCTGGCTGGCTTCAAACCTCGATCCTCCTAATCTCTGCCTCTCAAGTAGCTAGAATTACAGGCATGAGCCACCAGCGCCCAGCAGTCACTCTTTTTTTAATTGGCTTTTTATTTTAAAATATCATAAGTAATTACAAAGATAAAAACCCATGCGTACAAACTGTCGTGTTTATACTTAAGTATATGTGTGTGTGTATTTCAACTTCCTTCATCTTTCATCTCTTTAAGTAAAAATGCTTTCCTCATTCAGGGTATTTTTGATTTTTAATAATTACTTGGAAGAACAAATAATGAATCCTCAGCAGTTATTATACGGCGTTTCATGCACGGTACAGAAGAGGTCACCATAGTTAGCATATATATGTATATGTGCATATATATGTATATATGTATGCATATATATATATATATATAAAAGTATCCAGTTTTTTTATATACTTTCAACTCACCAGCTCAATCAAAATATTGACGTGTATCTTGTGACCTCACAAGATCTTAGAGAAAGAAAATTACTAAGGTTGTTGGCTAGAGCTAGAATGCAGTGCCATACGTTCTTCAACTAATGTCGTGAATGATTTAATACTGATGTAATAAGCAAGGAAATTTAGCCTATCACATAGCAGTAAGTTCAGAAATACTGCATGGTTTGTTCAGAGGCATAAACCTGTCACTCAAAGGCTGGGGGACATGGCTCAAGTCCCCCAGACTTGCCATCTGCCTAGCAAGCTTAAGGCCTTGAGTTCAAACCCCAGTACTACCAAAGAAACAAAAGCCCAGATTCTTTGCATCTCATCACTCTGCCTTCTTCAGGGTAGTTGGGAGATGGCTCCAGAAATCATTTGGTGTAATATTTAGAAACATCCAGAGGATGAGAGAACTTGTTTCTTCAGAAGATTCTCCTAACAGTGAAGGAACTTCCCAGGGGCCCCTCTGCAGTCTTTCTTCAGGCCACATTGCCTGGGGTCACTGGTTTATTCCTGGTCAGTCCCTGACCAGAGCAAAACAGACTGGAGGTGTGTCTCAAGCAGTAGAGCACTCAAGCATGGAGCCCTGAATTCAAAACTCCAGTCCCATCAGTAAATAAATAAATATAGCAAATGATGTCTCACTATGCATTTACAAATTGTCCTAATTGAAAAAATTGAAACTATAAACATAGTGAAAGTTCTCAAGACCCCCATCTCCAAAATAACCAGAGAAAAATGGACTGGAGGTATGGCTCAAGTGCACCTACTTTGCAAATGCAAAACCTTAAATTCAAACTCCAGTCACACACACACACACACACAAAATAGTAAACACAAGATATACAGAAACCTGCCTTTCCTTAAATAGTACGTAAAAGAGAGCTATGGAATCTTCTCTAAGAACCTTAAAAAAAATTGTTTTAGGCCAGATGTGGAGGCTCATGCTTGCAATCCCAGCACATGGGAGGCTGAGGCAGGAGGATCTTGACTTTGAGGACAGTTGGGCTACAAAGAGAGACCTTGTCTCAAAAAAAATAGTCTTACTCTTGGGCTGCTTAACAAAATGTGATAAGACTAGGTAGCTTAAACAGCAAACTTTTATTTCTCACAGTTCTGTCAGGGCTGCTTCCCACTTGTAGACAGCTGCCCCCGGCTGTGCTTTCACAAGGCTCTCTTCTGGGAAAGAGAGACCTCCCTCTTAAGAGACTATTCTCATCATGAGCATCCCACTCTCCTATCCTAAGCTAGACCTAATTATTTCCCAAGGCCCCAACTCCAAATAACTACCACATTTGGGGATGTAGAAATGTAGGAAGCTAAAATGGTCAGGGGTTTTTTGTGGGGGGGAGGAGAGAACATGTTATGTACAAAAGTATCCCCGAGCCCAGCCCTGGAGACCCTACTTCTGGAGGACAAAGAGGGTTCTGGTAGGTGAGATGAGTCAGCCAGGTCCAGACCTGGTACCCAAGACTGTAACCGGCTCTCAGAAACTGCTTTTGCTAAGAGTACTGACTTTTCACCTGGGCCTGCAAATGTCCCCATAGGTAACTGAAAGCAGGATGAAGTCCATTTTGCATGTTCTTGCTCTGAGCCATTCTCTCTTGTAGTCACAGTGCCCCTCTAGGCAACAATGACTTTCTTATCTGACCAGGCCCTGCCAGACCAACGTTGAGATAAGGAACCACAGGGCCACACCCTTTACAGGACTGTTTCCTCATTATGCACACTTCTGGTCCCCTACCTCTGCCGGAACGAGTTAGACCTCACGTTGGGTTGAAATGCTTACCCCATCTCTTCACAAGCTATATGGGTACAGCATGATAAATCATCCTTCTTTGCCCTTCACCACTACTCTTGTAGGTGAGAGCTGGACCTGACATGTTGGAAGGAGGTGGACCTCTGCCAGGACTCAAACTCTGACATGTCCCAAAGGGACCAGCGACTTCAGCCCTGTAGCCTACAGGACATATTTGCCTTCACCCCTCCCAGCCTGGGCTCAAAAATTTCCTGGAGCCAATGAACTCAGAACTTGATTCAAAAAGCCATGTAGAACTGGGTGTAGCAGCGCTGGCTTATGATCCCAGCTACTAAGGAGGCAGAGGCAGGAGGATGTAGAGTTCGAGGCCAGCCCAGGGAAAGTTGTGTAGATCGTGTGTCAAAAACAAAATATACAAGCCGGCACCGGTGGCTCACGCCTGTAATCCTAGCTACTCAGGTGGCAGACATCAGGAGGATCGTGGTTCGAAGCCAGCTCAGGCACAAGACCCTATCTCAAAAAAACCCTTCACAAAAAAGGGCCGGTGGAGTGGCTCAAGGTGTAGGCGCCAAGTTCAAGTCCCAGTACCAACAAAAATAAATACAATAGGTCTGGTGGTGAGGCTCCAGTTGTCTAGCCTGCCAGGTCCAGGCCCTGGGGTCAATCCCAGTACTGGAGGCAAGCATCTTATTTGTGAGGTCTCTCTCTTTTCCTTCACTTTCTTCCTTCAGCTCCCACTCCAGGTGATCTGAAGCCAACTCTATCCCTTCTTGCCCTAGGCAGACGCGTTTTGATTATGCTGCTGGCTCCCAAGGCCCCTGGGGTCTGAGCCCACCGCGGCCTGACTGCTGGGATGCTGGATGGTTTGGGGTCGCCTCTCCCCAGTCTGGCCGGCTTGGGGGGAACGGCCAACTCTCCATGGAGTGCAGGGGTGGGGGAAGCCAGGTGTGGGGCGCGTCACGGCCAGCAGGAGGCGCGAGCTCGCGCTATGGCGGCGCCCCGGCGGGAAGGAGGTGGTCCGAGGCCGACAGGGGAAATCGGGCCCAGGAACACGCGGAGACCGCGAGGCGCCGCCTCGTCCTGCAGCTGCGGCCCTCGGGGTCTCCAGCAGCCGCTGGCCCCACCCCGACTCGCGCGGGGACCGGGCACTGCCAGCCGCACTCACCTCCCCACGCCCCTCCAAGCCCGAGGCCTGCAGGAGAGCGATCGCCAGGGCTCCGGATGGCCGGAACCACTGCAGGGCGCGCGGAGCTGCGGAGGCGCCTGGAACCGCAAGCCCCACCCCTCAGTCAGCCCCGACAACTAAGCCACGCCCCTCATCCGCCCCCAACAGCACAAGCCCCGCCTTCAACCAGCCTGGACACCATAAGCTCCGCCCCCTAGGCCGGCCCCAGCAGCACAAGCCCCGCCCACTGTCAGCCCAGATAACTCAAGCCCCGCCCCTCTGCCGGCCCAAGAAGCACGAGCCCCGCCTCTCGGCCGCCCGCACCGAGAGGGGCTGTGGCCAGAGCGCCGCCGCCGCCCCAGGAGCAGCTGCTTCTCTGCAGAGCGGGGCCCGGAGTGGGGCCGGGGCCCCCCTGCATCTTCTCCCGCCATGAGCCAGGGAAGCCCGGGGAGTCGGGCCCCCCTCGATCCTACCCCCGGGCCCCCGGCGCCCCCAAACCCCTTCGTGCATGAATTACATCTCTCCCGCCTCCAGAGGCTGAAGGTAAAGGTGCGGGCAGGGCATCGGGAGGAGAGTCGGGGCCGGGCAGAGCCAGGGCAGACAGGCACCGGGGTGCGAGGAGGCGGCGGGGGCCGGCGCAGCGCAAGCCCTGATGCGCACGTGGGGGAGGCGGGCGTGGGCGAGCCCGCTGCACAGGACGCGGGCCGGCAGTGGACTAGCGGGACGTGCTGAGGCATTGGCAGGTGAAGGTGACGGCTGTAAGGAACCCAAGGGCAGGAGGGGCGGAGGATGCCGGGGAACGCGGATCGCATCCTGCGGAGGCCGTGAGCTGGGATGCACTGAACGCCACTGGAAGCCGGGTGGGGGCGGGGGCTCGGACCTGGAGGGTCTGGGCCCAGAGCCTGCGCCCGGGTGCCTTTTCAGCATCCCTGTTCCTGACCTCCATCACAACCCCCACACCCCCGCCCCCGCACTGCAGTACCTCCCGATGGGGGCAGGGAGGCTACAGGAAGTGGAGGGCCGCACCAGCGTAGGAACAGGAGGTGGTGGGGGAGGAAATGTCCAAGGTTTCTTCTGACAACACCTCCCCTGAAGCAGGCTCCAGGGGCTAGGTTTGTTTACCTAGGTTTCTCTCCCCAGGCAGCCTATGGAGTCACCCTGGCTCCTGGCAACCCCTACCTTGCGGAATAGGGCTGAGCCTTCACACACACACCCTCCCTCACTGCTAGGGATTGCTGTTGGGACTGACTTGAAGCTCAGGAAAGGGGACCCCTGTTTGCAGCCCTCTGCTTCCCAGGCCCAAAGTGGAAAGAGCTATGCACCTGTTTCAGTTTGACATAGGCCTATTTATGGAATGATGTGGGGAGGAAGACCTGTCTGCAGCCTCCTGTACACGAACCACAGGGCAGGCACCTTCACATGCCTTTGCTCATCAGCCTTTCAAAGTGCTGGATGCATTTTATGATATTCACCTTTATAGGCAGGGTGGGAACAGACTGAGAGATGGGAAATGAGGCTTCTGGTGTTATGAATCTTTCAGCCTCCTGCCTTCACAGTGCCTTCATCCCACTTGGATCCCAGGCCCCTTTCCTGTTCCTGTACCACCTGTCACCTGTGAAGGGTGATGACTGTCTGCTCCCGAGTGGGTCCATGTGGGAGAGGGGATGCTGTGGTAGTGGTATCCCCCGGCCCTGGACAACACTGCCTCTCATCCTCTGCAGTTCTGCCTTCTGGGGACACTGCTGGCTCCCATTCGTGTGCTTCTAGCTTTTATCGTCCTCTTTCTCCTCTGGCCTTTTGCGTGGCTGCAAGTAGCAGGTCTTACAGAAGAGCAACTTCAGGAGCCAATTACAGGATGGAGGAGGTAAGTGAGGAGTCAGCCCCTGAGACCCTGCTTGTGTTCCCTGCTGTTACCCCCTGCACACCTTTTAGAGGAGGAGAAGCAGGGTTCTGAAACTGTCCTGCCCTGCCTGAGTAGGTGAGAGAGTCAGCCAGGCCCAGAGCTGGTACCCAGGAACCTCACCTCTGGCTGATGTGCCCAGAAATACCCGCAAACGGGCCAGACTTCTTCAGTCTGGTGGCCAAAGTGTTTGGGAGAAAGAGGGAGATGTATTTTCATGGGTGCCTGAATGAGGGATGGGAAGGGGTGAGGGTCAGAACTGCTGCCTGTACTGATCCCCAGCTTGCCCTGGCAGGACCGTGTGCCACAATGGGGTGCTGAGCCTGAGCCGCCTGCTATTCTTCCTGCTGGGCTTCCTCCGGATCCGTGTTCGGGGCCAGCGGGCCTCACGCCTTCAAGCCCCTGTCCTTGTTGCTGCCCCCCACTCTACTTTCTTTGACCCTATTGTTCTGCTGCCCTGTGACCTGCCCAAAGTTGTGTCCCGCGCGGAGAACCTTTCTGTGCCTGTCATTGGAGGTGAGAGGGTTCACCAGGGTGAAGGAGAGGAATGACAGCTCTGGGCCATAAAAGTAAGGAATGGAGACCCAGAGGGGAGAACTGGCCTTGAGTGGGGAGGGAGAAGTTAGGAGGGAGATTGACAGATGGCCAACAAAACGCAAATTAGCAGGTATCTGTCTTCAGCCACCTCTTAGACTGTAGGGCTGGAGCACAGAGAAAGTGTTGGGGAGAAACTGAGTGAAGTCTGCTGATGTTAGTGCACTGGGTCAGAGCCTAGTGACTCTCCCTCACACCTTTTCCCAACCCCAGCCCTTCTTCGATTCAACCAAGCCATCCTGGTGTCCAGGCATGACCCGGCTTCTCGGCGCCGAGTGGTAGAGGAGGTTCGAAGGCGAGCCACCTCAGGAGGCAAGTGGCCCCAGGTGGGTAAAGGTCTTAGGACCCTCTCCTCACCTTCCATGTGCTCCTGAAGAAGAGGCTTGCCCTACCTCCCCCACCTCATTCTGCACTTCTGGGTTTTTCTTTCCTCCCAGGTACTGTTCTTTCCTGAAGGCACCTGTTCCAACAAGAAAGCTTTGCTGAAGTTCAAACCAGGTGTGTAAAATGATGGTGGGTAGCAAGGCCATGGGAAAAGGGAGTCCCTGCATTGGGGAGGAATAACCCACAAAATAGAAAGGTGGTCAGGGATTGGGGAGAAAGGGAGACAGGGAACCCCAACAAGTTGGGGAGTCAGAAAATTATAAATGAGTGGAGCAAGGCCAGATGTCATTTGGAAATTGTCCCAGACCCATATCTTGTGCCATCTAGCTGTCTCCATGCACTAATCTCTGTATGTGGGGGGGATGGGGGTGGAAATGGGATTTAGGAGCCTTCATCGCAGGGGTGCCTGTTCAGCCTGTCCTCATCCGCTACCCCAACAGTCTGGTGAGTCTTAGTCCAAGAAAGGGGGGAGGGGGAAGCACAAGTCCATCTTAAGTGGAAACTATTACTGCCATTTTGGGTGGGGCAAGAGCAGGAGGCAGGACCCCTGTTCAGAGAGATTGGTCAGTTTCTGGAAACAGAAGTAATGTTCTGTCCCCAACTGTGCTTCTCCCATAGGATACCACCAGCTGGGCATGGAGAGGTCCTGGAGTGTGAGTTCTGGTGGTCCTGGGTTGAGGGCGGGTGACAGGGTCTGTCAGAGAATTCCCTGGCCTTATTCCAATGTCCAAGAGGTGGATGGTCCTTCCTCATTCTGGGACTGAGAGCACTAGGGGAGTGCTCCAGTTCTATGGTTTTGGCTCCTTCTCACTTTTAAGTGATTTTTCTCCCTCGATTGTCCCTTCTGGAGCCCACCCCGCCAGGCATGCCTCTTGCCCTTTCCCTGTGTAGCCTGCACTTTTTCCTCTGCTGTATCCCTGCCTCTCTTCTCTCTTGCCACCTTTCTGGCCCTTCTCAGTCTCCCACCTACATCTTCAGCAGCATGGCTAGGGGTCCATTTTCTAATCACTGGGCAGAACTTTCCCACTGTTCTCTTCAGGGTAGGAGGGGCCCATAGTTAGATATTAACGAGCATTGTGGCTCCTCTTCTCCTAGACTCAAAGTTCTCTGGCTCACAGCCTCGCAGCCCTGCAGTATCGTGGATGTGGAGGTAGGACCCCCACAGCCAGGAAGACAGAATGGACATCACGCATCCCCAGAGCCCTGAGAAAAAAGGGAGAGTGGTCACCCTTCACTTCCAGGTCCAGATAAGAACTGTGTGTGTGTGTGTGTGTGTGTGTGTGTGTGTGTGTGTGTGTGTTTCAGTTCCTCCCTGTGTATCAGCCAAGCCCAGAAGAGAGCAGGGACCCCACCCTCTACGCCAACAATGTCCAGAGGGTCATGGCACAGTGAGTGTTCCACAAAATATTTCCTGGAGCAGATTCACAGGGCAAATGAGCCATAAGGGGAAGTGGAGGGGTGAGGTTCGAAGCACAGATAAGGCGGGAGGGATGGTGGGAAGGGCTATGGGGCAGCTGAGACTGAGGAGGGAAAGAAAGATAAAGGAGCCTGAGTTGCTCTCCCAAGTCATCAGGCCAGAGTACGTAAGGAATCCTCACACTGTACTCCATTCCCTTCCTCTTGTAGGGCCCTAGGCATTCCAGCCACTGAATGTGAGTTTGTAGGGAGCTTGCCTGTGATTGTGGTGGGCCGGCTGAAGGTAGCATTGGAGCCAAGGCTCTGGGAGCTGGGAAAGGTGCTTCGGAAGGCTGGGTAAGTAGCCTTGAAGTTGAGGGCACAGCAGTGTCACAAAGAGAAATGGGGAGAAATGGGAAGAAGGAAGGAAAGTTTAAAAAAAGAAAGGGTTGGGTTGGGCCAGGCGTGTTGGTACACATCTATAATCCCAGCACTCTGGAGGCTAAAGCAGAGGATTACAAATTCAAGGCTGTCTCAAAAAAAAAAAGGGTGAAAAGATAACAGAGTAAAAGAAGGGGCATGGTGCATCTATAATCCCAGCTACCCTGGAGGCAGAGACAGGAGTATTGCAAATTCAAGTCCACCACCCCACGCAAAGTTAGTGAGACCCTATCTCAAAAACAGACTGCAAACAAAAGGGCAGAATGGTAGCATTCCTGCTTAGCATGTAGGCCCTGGGTTCAAATCCCAATACCACACACACAAAAATAAAAGGGGAGAAAAAGGAATGAAGGGTACAAAATAACAGGTGAGAAAAGTGAGTGCAAAGGGCTCTCAAAAGACTGTGAGTCAGTTTATCTTAGAAAAAACAGCTTCGGTGGCTCACGCCTATAATCTTAATACTCAGGAGGCAGAGATCAGGAGAATTATTAAAAAGCCAGCCCAGACAAATTATTCACTGAGACCTTACCTCAAAAATACACAAAAAAGAGGGCTGGTAGAATGGCTCAAGTGGTAGAGCGTCTGCCTGGCAAGCGTGAGGCCCTGGGTTCAAACCCCACTAGTTCAATAGCTCAGTGGTAGAACACTTGCCTAGCCTGAACAAAGGCCTGGGTTCAGTCTCCAGCACCAACCAGCAGTTGAACCTGTGCTGGGAGAATGCTCAGTGCTGGGCACAAGGTCCTGCTGCATGGCGTGTCCAGAAAGAAACTGAGCTCTCTGCCTTTGACGATTCTGTTGCAGGCTGTCCCCTGGCTGTGTGGATGCTGGGGCAGAGCCAGGTCGGAGTCGAATGGTCAGCCAGGCAGAGTTTGCCAGACAGCTTCAGCTCTCAGACCCTCAGACGGTGGCTGGTGCCTTCAGCTACTTCCAGCAGGTAAAGGAACCAGGGCAGAACCAGGGCTCCCCTCCAGGCTGACACACTCAGGATGTAGGGATAAAATCTTGAGTGGCACGTCAGTCTCATTGGATGCCCAACTGGGAGACCACTCTGGATGAACAGGTTCCCATCTCCCAAGATTCACTAGAAGGTTATTTTTTTGTTGTTGTGTATCAAGGAGCAGTAAGAAATATTCAATGGGGGAGACGTGTCAGTTTCTGAAACCACTTTAGAGATTGGTGAAGAAGGGGGCTACTGGGTGAGGGTTTTCAAAGAAGAGTCATGAAGGTTAGGTGGGAGAGGGACACATAGAAAAAACAGCACTGGACAGACAGACAGTAGACAATTTGAGATCCTCTAGTGTTTGCATTACTTGGACAGATTTTTTCAAGTGTTCTGTAGCTTCTCTAAAGGATTCCTGAACTAGCTCAAGAATCTTAGCAATCTTACTTGCTGGGATATAACCAGGTTTCCCTGTCGGGTAACAATTCTGTAAGATTCCCTTTTTTTTTTTGCTAGGAGGGGTACTAACTATGTTGCCCACACTGGTCTCAAACTCCTGGGCTCAAGTGATCTCCCCTCAGCCTCCTGAGTAGCTGATACTGCAGGTGCATGGCGTCCTCCCCACCTTGGAAGATTCTTAACGTTTATTAACAACCAACAGGAATCCCAAGGAGCTCTTTTTCTTTTTTTTTTGCAAGGGTAGGGGAGGAATCAAACCCAGGGCATCATGCTAGACAAGTGCTTTACCACTGAGCTGCTCCAATCACTCTGAGGGCTCCTTTTGTTCTAAGATGCAGGCTGTGGCTCTCACCATCTCGAGGATGTTAAAAACTGACCAAGTACACAGTGATGCATCCTATAATCCCAACACTTGGGAGATCAGGGAAGGATTTCAAGTTCAAGGCCAGCCTGGGCTACATAGGAAGACACTACCTCAAAAAAAAAAAAAAAAGTCACTGGCTGTGTGGATTCCTTAGATTGGGGCTGCCTGAGAGGAGCGTCCCTAATGTGTCCCCTAGAACTGGCACAATAGACATTCTACCGGGGTTTTTGGTAAGAAATGAGACCAGTGGCCCCTTTTCATTCTGTTGGACCAGTTCTCCCACATAGACTGGGTAAGAGGAGGGAACCAGTTTGTCCACCTTGGGGACAAGTGACCTCCCATGGTATGTCAGAAACTTGATGCTCAATTCAGGATTCCCCGCCATTCCTAGGAGATCTCAATGGGAGAGCTTGTGTAAGCTCTGACCTGAGAGAACTGTCAGGGATCCTGCGAAGTCTGGGACTCAGTTCTGAAGGGAGTGGCCACAAGTATTGCCTCCATGCCTACAGAGGAGAGAGGAGCCAGAACCCCAGAGCAGGAGGGACGATGCAGGGTCCCCACATTGCTGTGGCTTCTCTTCCGTCCTCTAGGATGCCAAGGGATTGGTGGACTTTCGAAATGTGGCACTTGCACTAGCAGCTCTGGATGGGGGCCGGAGCCTGGAGGAGCTGACTCGCCTGGCCTTTGAGGTACGTGGGAGTTGAGGGAGGCCTGGGGGCCATGGTCACCCCACACAGGAGCCTCTGTAGGGAACTATTCCCAGAGGCTCCTTGATGGTAGGTGCATGGTGCCTGGTGCCACACTGCCTGAAACTGCAGAGCCCCAGAATGTCTGTGTTAAGGCCTAGCTGCGAGAAAGAAAAGGGCAGAAGCTATGACATTTACAGGTCTCCAGCAGAAGGGGCCCCAAAGATCCAAGAGCATCCATGTGCACACTTTTGGAAGAGGAGGCGCCCACTGGGTGATGACCTTTTGTCCTTTTCTCTCCAAAGCTCTTTGCTGAGGAGCAGGCAGAGGGACCTAGCCGCCTGCTGTACCAAGATGGCTTCAGCACCATCCTGCACCTGCTGCTGGGTTCACCCCTCTCGGCTGCCACAACTCTGCATGCTGAGCTGTGCCAGCCAGGACCCAGCCAAGGCCTCTCCCTCTGTGAGTCACTGTCTTCTCAGCCCCACACTGGCACTCAGCGGCGCTGACTTGGAGAGCCCTGGGTTGGGAGGGAGCCAGGGCTAGTGGCTAGTGTTGGAGATCAGAACCTCTAAGAGGTGAGGCTAGAAAAGAAGAGAGGAAGTAAACCTATATTTGAGAAAGCAGAGAGATGAGTGGGTAGGACCTTCAATCTGAGAAAAGGGCAGTGGTGTCCTTGTTCTCAGGTCTTTATATTTCCTTTCTCACTCTTACCTGTCCAGGTCAGTTCCAGAATTTCTCCCTCCATGACCCACTCTATGGGAAGCTCTTCAGCACCTACCTGCGCCCCCCACACACCCCTCAAAACACCTCCCAGATACCAAATGCCTCATCCCCAGGCAGCCCCACTGCTCTGGCCAACGGGACTGCACAAGCACCCAAGCAGAAGGGTGACTGAGCGCCTCAAACCTCTGCCCCTTCCTCCTCAGCTCGAATCCAGCCCTGCACTCAGGGCAGCGCCAGGGGCCTACCCTATGCCTCAACCCCATCTCTGGTCCTGTTTGGTTTTTGTTATCTTTTTTTTTTTTAAGTTAATTTTAATTTTTTGTTTGGGTTTTTTGTAAGAAACTATTTTATATATAAATTAAATATATATATATATATCTATTAAAAAATGAAGTTTAGTGACTTCACTGATGTCATTAGTTGGGAAGGAAGGGATGAATGTCTGCAAGTTCCAGATGGTTCCAAAGGTCAGTCCTTTTGGCCGTGGTTGGATGCAATCTCTCACTCCCAGGTGGACTGGGTTCTTTCCTGTACAGAAATGATACAGAAGTGCTCTATCCTCCCCTCCTGTAACCTCCTAAATGCACATTTCCTCATGAACTTCTTTTCAGCCCATTCCCTCTTGTTCTGTCCTCATTAAAGATTAAAAAATAGCTCCCTGCCATTCCATATTTAACAATCCTAATGAGAGTTGATACCATTGCCCATAGTAAGAACAGAGCTGTGTCAATACAGATGTCGTGTCCTCCAGTGCAACCACTGGGGGCAGTCCCCCTACCACTGGATGAGCTCGGGACACTTAGGTCATTTCCGTTGGCCTCTTCAAGGGAGGAAACAAAACCCCTACAGGCGCTGTGCCTACACACAGATGTGGAAAATTAATTCAGTTTAGGAAATTAGATCTCTATCTTAGGTTGAAAAGCATCTTTCCCTATCTGGAGACTTAACGGGGCAGACAATGACAGGCTGTCCACATAACCCTTCCCATCACAAGGTCCTGGCTTGGGAAGAGGAATGAATAAAATGGCCATTGGATACTTCTGTTTCAGGGCCAAGAAAGTCAGCCTGTTGCTGAGAGGATGCTGCAGGGAGCCAGGATGAGGGAGTCTGGAACTACCCCTGCCTACTTTCGTAACATCTGCCCTATGTGGCAGCAAAGACGTGTACACGGCAGGGTGCACTGAGAGGATTTTCCAACCAAAAAAACTTTTATTTCTTTTTCTCATACAACTCCTTCCAAAATCCTTCTTTACTTCCCACTGAGGGGACCATCTGTAACCAACCTAGCCAGTGTGATCTTCACTACTGGGGAAGCCACCTCTGGGGCCTGGCAAGTGGGGTAGGATGGTCCCTCTGTTTACTACTGGCTACGACGCCGTTTCTTCTTTCTGCCTGTGGCAAAACTGTCACGCCTTCTTTTACGAGGCTGTGAGGACTGCACCATTCCCAGAGCCAGGGGGTTCTCCCCAGAGACACCAAGTTGAGCTCCTGGCTGGGATCTCTTTACAGCATTAGCTAAACCTCCAACTGGGGCTCGCTTCCCAGACTTGGTGACAGGGTGTGAAAGTTGGCCAGGGCCTTGTACCTCAGCACAGGGGTGGGATGCTCTCTGGATGCCCTGACCTCCCGAAACAGGGTGAGGACTGAGGGGAAGGCCCCTTGGAGAGAGGCTAAGTTTGGAGGCCAAGAGGTAGGCAAAGTTGGAGAGTTGTTCATCTTCCTCTTCCTCCTCCTTCTCCCTTTTCTGGACCCCATCCACTGAGTTGAGTGCTTCACTAAAGGAGTTTTCTCTTGGAACTAAAGCATCCCATGTAGGGGAAGTGCTTCCAAGGCTCAGGTAAGATGTTGATTTGGGGGTCTCAAGTATATAAGACTCTTGATTGCCTTGTAAAGATACAAGATCATTAGGCTTAGGACTGGATGGACTGCTATCTTCCCTGCCCTCTCCTTGGAGGTCATAAGAATTAAAATTTGCTAGGCAGGAGTCCTCACTGACCCCTAGTTGGAAGCCACAATCATCTGTAACATCTAGTATGTTGATATGCTCTGTGGCTTCCAAGGGAGAAAAGGGATTCCCTGTGCTCTCTGCCTCTTGGCTAGCCTGAGGGAAGAAGGCATCCTGTGTCCCTAGGATAAAGAGGTTGTCTTGGCATGAGGGCAGCAGGGCATCTTTGGGAGACCCCAGTGTGGAGGCTTCAGTTATTTCCAACAGTGGGGAGCAACCATCAGCCCAGAGATCATTGGTATCCTGTATGGTCCCAGGGCTCTGTTCTCTGTTTTCTTCGGGCCCCAATGCTGGACTGTTGGTCCCTGGAGGTTCTGGCAACTCTATGGCAGCTACGGCATCTGTTGTTCCACTGGGAAGAACCACAGTGCTCTCTCCCTCCCCAGACAGTGAAATGCTGTTGGTGGAGTCCAGTGCCTGGTGCTTGGCTATACATTCCCCATTTTCGAAGCTCTCTATGACCTCTTCAATTTGCAAGGGCAACTCCAAGCTTACAGCATCCATCTCACTGCTCAGCCACAGTGCTGGGCTGAGAGCCCTGTCCTGGTCCCCAGCTGCCCCAGGGGAAGCATTCTGGTCATAACTCTGAACCATGGAAGGACCTGCATCATTTTCCCACATGGCTGCTAAGGATTCTTCCTGGGACACGGCTGAAGGCTCTGTCCCTCGAGGAAGCACTTCCAATACCCCCATCTGCTGTCCTGTCTGCAACCCCAGAACTTGCTTTTCTAACCCTTGTCCTTGCACAGGAGCTGGATCTGCAAGTACAACATCCACACTGAGAGCTCTCAGGGGTTGGGGACCTTCCTGCCAGCAAAGGGACAAAGCCTCTGAAGTCCTATCAGCCACTAGGCAGTGCCCAGGGGACCCAGCACCTCCCAGGTAGCCATCCTTATGTGAAGATAGTTGGTTCATAACCTCCCCAGACCCCCTTCTCTCCATACCCAAGGAAGGCTGCACCATCTGTGAAGGTGCAAGTTTTAACTGCCGATCCCAGCTGCTGGAGGATAGCTGAGGGTTCCCATCCTTATGCATGCCTCTTGGGCCACATAGGGCTCCCTCTAGCCCACCATGCATTTCTCTTGCCCGCTTGCCTGGAGAAGCAGCCTTTCCAAGGCAAACAGTGGCCCAGACCCCCGAGGCCCAGGGGTAGGCCGAGGCCGTCCACCCCCATCTTCATCTTCATCAGAAACAGAAGGACTTGAGTCTGACTGAGCGCCACTGCAACTGGGAGGTGCCTGCATATCCTCGTCTTCCTCCAGGGCCAAGAGTCGCTTCTGGACAAGCTGGAAGGGAATGGACAAAGACCACGTATATGGAGGTGTTAAGAGATGACTGAGTGGATGGTAGGAGATGTCATATGGGCAAGACAAGGAAGAAAAGCAAGTAGCTTCAGTGATAATATCCAAGACATACTGCAGCTCTTCCTGCCTTTTTGTGCCTAATTCCTGTTCTTTGAGCCCTTACTCTCATTTCTCATTTCCATAGTCCCACCTACTTGTTCTATACCTGAAGCTGTTCATCACCAAAGCCACATTATCCAAGACAGTACGGGGTTAGAATCGTGAGCTTCTTTGCTGATACCCCTCCTCCCAGGTTTACCTGGGCAATAGTGAGCCTTCTTCTTGCTCCAGCTCCTCAATCAAGGCCAAAGGATCTCTCTGTTCTTCAGGGGACAGCAGATCTGCCAGAAATTGAGGGTGAATGACAGCTTCCACCTGAGGGACAGAAGGAAAAGTAATGCGAGTGCTTCACAGGAGACTCATCCTGTGAGCCAAAGGTCTCTGGAGATGAAGCCACAGTCCCCACTCCCACCCAGAGTTTGTTATAAACCATGACTGTCAACAGCTACAGAGCTGTACGTACATGTACACACACACATTTCCCAGGTACAGAATAGAGCTGTCTCACCCCAACCCCAGATGTGCCTGACCCCAGGATCTGCTAGAAAGCAACCGTGCGGGCCCAGCCCACCTTGGAAACAAAGACCTCCTGAGAACACAGCTCATCGACGTAGCTCAAGAGACAAGGGTCTGGATATGACCCTTCATCTTCCTGCTGCTCCTCTTCCTGTTTTCCACCTGATGCCACAGTGTCCGACTGACTCCCCGCCAGCCCTTCCATGATGTCAATATATTCTTTCACGGCTTCTGGCGGGATCTCCTTGGGTGTCTCTGGAGCTGGAAGCCTTTGGGGTTTGCGCTGCCGCCTGCGGGGAGCCCGGCTCTTGCAGGCTGCCTTCTTTGGAATGTACACTGAGGGGAGAGCTGGAAACGGGTACAGAAGCCTTGGTCTCTACCACCCAACTCTGTTGTAAGGACAGCAATCTGAGTACATGAAAATGGGTCGAACCATCCTGAAACAGTACCAGCCATGGGAGATTTTAAAGCTGAAGGGTATGACAAAGAGACCACTGTTTTAGGAATCTTTCCACACACCTTGAAATTCCAAGGAAGCCCCTGATCCAGCCCCACATAGGCAGATGAAGTGGCACAGGCCTCACTCACAGTGTAGGTGAGAGAGTAGCTTAAGTTTACTTGGCCAAGACCAATCCCTAGTTTAGGACCAAGAGAAATCAAATATCCAACCCTCTATGGGGCCTTCTGTTGGAACACAGAATGTCACTTCCTGGAAAGAAAGTCGCAGAAGCAAGGCCTTCCCTAATCCTGGCTGGCCTTCCTTCCAGCCTACTCATGGCTCCTATTAGAACTGGGCAGCCTTACCTGGCAGCTGGCAAGCCTCAGGGGCCAGGGACCCTGGAGGGTCAAGTTTCAAAGGAGCTGCAGGAGAGAGGCCATGGGAGCCATTCATCAGTTGTGCATTCTGTATCTGCTCCTCCTCAGCCTCAAACTCCATGAACCTGCAGAGGGTGAGGAAGGTGCAGGCTGTACTTGAAAGGAGACCTAGGTGCCAGGCAGCAGCCAAACATGGCCAAGAAAGGAAGTGCCCTCATTTGGACACTGCCTAAGTCAAGTCACCCGGGGGAGGCTGCACATAGGTAACCTAATAACAGACTGGGAAACCTGACAAGGTCACTACATTTTCCGTTCACCTACCTTGGTCACATAGGAAGTTCATTAAGGAAGTGAATAGTGTGGAGCTTGTAAAACTACCCAGGACAGAGCAATAGCCTTTGCTTCTTTTCCATACCTGTTTCACCCAGTCTCACAGGTTGTATGCAGCACTATTTAGTGGAAGCTCGGTGAATGCAATCAGGCCTGTGTAACAGCCTGGTGGGACCTCACAATTGGCCCCTCTTCAAAGCCTCATCTGCCCCTGTCTACAACTGGAAAGAATGGCAAAATTCCTGAACCAGAGCCATGGCAGTTCTCAGCAAGAGGCAGTGCGGGGATCCAGTGTTGGATCCTAAGGTGGAACAGGCTCTGGAGGTACATCTAGGAGGCAATGGGTCTAGGAGATTCAGGGAGAAAGCCAAGCTTGAATTGGAAGAAAGAGCTCCATTTCCTCAGTTTTTTGTTTTTTGTTTTGTTCTGTTTTTTTCTATACTGGGATTTGCACTCAGGGCCTACACCTTGAGCCACTCCACCAGCCTTTTTTTGTGAAGGGTTTTTATTTTGAGATAGGATCTCACAAACTATTTGCCTGGGACTGCCTTTGAACCAAAATCCTCCTGATCTCTGCCTCCTGAGTAGTTAGGATTGCAGGCGTGAGCCATCAGCGTCAGGCTGGGGGGTTGTTTTTGTTTTGACACAGGGTCTCACTATGTTGACCAGGCTGGCTTTAAACTTCTGGGCTTAAGTGATTTTTTTTGGAACTAGAATTTGAACTCAGGGCCTCACACTTGCTAGGCTCTACTGCCTGAGCCAGTCTTCCAGCCTCAGCCTTCCTAGTCAGTAGTGCGCCATCTACAGGTGCACGCCATTCCCAGCCAAAGTTACTCTTTCGCTGAGGATAACCTGGAGAAATGGAGGATAAAGAAACAGGATACTATTCTGGGCATCCAGCACCTTGATCAACCTCTTCCAGAACCAGAACCTCCTGGGACTGGGGGAAAGGAGATTTCTGTGCCACTATTTCCAAAGGAAAGGCTGCCCCAAAGTTCTGTATTAATAGCCACCTGCTACCTGGTAAGTAAGAAAAGAACCTGCCTAGCACCACTTGCCTCCATCACCAGGTCCCTTCCATGTGGAATTTGCACATGTATTGGGCTCCAATCCCATCCTAAGACCTTCAATGTGAAGATCTGGGGACAAGGAGAGCTTCTGAGAGGAATAGGATAGAATAGCCCCAGGCACAAGATGGTGGAAGCAGCAGCAAGGGTCCAGGAGACCTTATCCTAGCCTCTGACAACCTCCCTCACCCACCGCCACCGCCTTTTTTTTTAGTAGTACTGGGGCTTGAACTTAGGACCTATACCTTGAGCAACTCCACCAGCCCTTTTTTGTGATGGGTTTTTTCAAGATAGGATCCTGCGAACTATTTGCCCAGATGCCTTTGAACAGCAGTCCTCCTGATCTCTACCTCCTGAGTAGCTAGGGTGGCACCCCTTTTAATAGTCACCCACATCCTCATATACAAGCCTCTACTGCCCACCCCCTTGGCTGCCTTTCTGCACCCCTTCCCCCCACCAAAGGAAAATAGGGTTCGTCAGACTCACTTTTCTGCCATCTCATAAAAGATCATCCGGTCAAAGTTGCTGGTGTGCTCCCACTCTTGCACAGCCCTGGGCAGTCCCTCCTCCAGGGTCATGGTGGGCTTCAGCCGGGCCAGGGAACGAAGCACTGGGCTAAAACCCCCATTAGGTCAGTCAACGCTCAAAAAGTGTCCCCCCCCACACACACACACCTGTCCTGATACCCACCTCAACCCTCATCCCTGCCCCCATCAAGTCCAGCAAGCCCCTCAGGCTTGGGAGACTCTCAACCTCCCATCCAGTCATTCCCATATGGCCTCCTTCCCTGACACTTGCAAATCACAAAATCAAACGATTCTCCTCCCTACCTTTTGAAATCAGCCACCCCTAATTCACACATTAAGAAAACATTCATGTTTGCAAATGAATGGTACTCGCTATAAAGTAGTCTCAACCCTAAGACATTCCCTAACCCCAGTGAATCTCCAATTAAAGGATGTGTGGTGTTTTTATTCATTGGTTTTTCAGCCAGTCTTTGTCTCCATAGACTTCCAAATACAGTATGAGACCCTCACTTCTGGAAGGCTCCAGGGCCTTTTCTCATCCAGAGTAATCCCAGCCTACACAAAGGGCTTCATTGCTGCTTCTCTGACTTTCCTTAAGTCCTCAAACACTGTGCATCAGAGTCACCTGGGGAAGATTGTAAATATGGGTTGCACTGCCCAGGAGTCCCAAGACTGAGCACCCAAACACTTTCCCTGGAGACTGCTGCAGAGGGTCAGGACTGCACTTGACGGGAGACTCTTCTGGGCACCACTGAGCTTGGGGAGCTGGAGTGGCCAGGACCAAAAGCGAGTGGGGTCCCAAGCAAACCTTAGAGCCCATACTGACTCAAGATTTAGAAACTCAGCCTCCCATCCTCCGAGAGAGAACTCAGAGCTGTGTTGAGAAAACAAGAGTCCCTAAGTTGGTGTTTATCTAGGACTTGGGGGCTTCTTGATTTATTTGCCCAAAGTCAGGGTGAAGGGGGAAATTCCTTTAGGAATTCAGCCCTAAGTTTCTTCAAAGTCCAGTACAATGGAGTACTAGTTGTATGGTGGTTTGCGTAAAAAGTTGAGGGTGCGGTACAGTTGAAAGAGATAGCCAGTGTGGTTGGAAAGCAGAGAAAAATTTCCAGATGACTAATGCCTGCTTGATAAACAAAACACAGCCTGCTTAGCTAAACACACACTCACTCAAACAAGGACCTTCTGGCCTTTTGTGAGCTCTGTGTCTCTTTAAGATTGCCTTTTTATAACAGTAATAAAATCTCAGCAATCCTCAGGGGTAGGTATAATTATCCTCTTTTAGATGAAAAGGCTGAGGGTTTTTCATTGGTTTTTTAGCCAGTCTTTGTCTCCATAGACCTCCAAATATACTATTAGACCCTTACTTCTGGAAGGCTCCAGGGCCTTTTCTCATCCAGAGTAAATGTCCTACCCAAGATCACAAATCTAGTGAGTGGTGGAGCCAGCCAGCCCCACACCCTCCCTGCTCCACCTTGACTTTTCTTGGTATAGTCTGGGAATGGCAAACAAAGTTCTCTGCCTGGCCCAGTGCCATCCTCCACCTCCTGCAGGAATGAGTCAGGGCCCAGCACTCCTCATCCCAGCTGGTTTGCACAGCCTAACTCAATGTCTGAGGGCAAGAGGCAGTGATGGATCAGGAGGGCACTGACACTTGGGATCAGAGACCTAGGTTCCAATCGCTTCTCCTTGCTTTATTACAGGAAATCTCTCTGGGTTTGTCTTCTCTTCTGTAAAAGAGGATAACCATAAAACACTCGCCTGAATTCACAGGGCTGTGAGGATGGCTTGAAGGAAAACACCTGAAAGCTTACCATGAACTGGGAAGAGGGTAACGAGGCTGCCTGCTACTGTCAGTCCTTCTCATTGTATGGTCTCTTTCTCATGACTTGCCCTCACATATTCCTAAATAACCGAAACTCCTACTGCTTCCCAAAGCCTCTTTATTTAAAAGCCCTAGGATGAGTAATCTTGGGTCTCCCCACTTACATGAGAAAGCAAGAGAGTGCTTCTGTGTCAGGACTTTGGGATAGGTGCCTCCGGGCCAAGGCTTTGTAGCGCTGCCAGCGTTGGAAGTTCTCGTAGACGCCCTTTGAGGTGTAGGCAAGCTCGCCCAGTGAGGGCTTCCCTGCAGCCACAGGGCCTCCTTCCCCGGTAGCCCCTTGTGGCCCTAGCCAAGCCTTTTCCAAGGGCAAAATGGGAGCCAACTGAGCAGCTGGTGGTAAAGCCTGAGGAGGGAGGCCTGGGGGGCCCTCCTGGCTCACTCCAACAGCCTGAGTGGGCAGAATGGTCTTCACATTTGAAGTTGCCATGTACCGAGCAGGAGACCCCTCCGAGCCCCACAGGGAGCACTGGAGGCAATCCAATTGAGGGCTGTCTGAGTGAGGATGAAGTTCTGAGTTTGAGAGGGCTCAGCCAGCCCTGCTTCTGTCTTGACTTTGATAATGACCTTGCCAGTCCCAGCCCCAGTGGGGTTGGGGCTCCCATCCCCTGTCACCAGCAGCGGGTTGGCGAAAGCAGAGAGCACCAGTGGGTTGCCTGGAGAGAATGCTGAAGGTATGGGGGGCTGTGGAGATGGTTCCCAGGATGGCTGGTCTAGCTGGTCAGGTGTCGGCGGGGGGAAAGGAAGTGCGGTAGGAGAAAGAGCAGCACCAGGCTTCATGTTCACATCCAGCCCCAGCAAGGGAGATGCTGCTGAAACAAAGAAAAGGGGGAACTGGAGCAAGAGAAAGGAGATCAGAATTAGGCCATCTGAGATCCTCTTGTCCCCAAGGAATCAAAGCACTGATTCTCAGCAGTGCAAGGAGGGGCTCTCCATGGGGAACTTGTACAGTTCCTCATGTGCAAATGTCCCCCACATGATTTTGATGTTCATTACTCCCAGTTGAGAATCACAGCACTGGAGAAGTTGCTTCCTTTCAACAAGATGCACAGACCCCAAGGCCAAAGCACATGGCCTCCAAAAGACCTCCCTTGCCAGCCCCACAGTGCTTACTAAAATATGGGACAGCAGTGACACCTGTCCTGCAGGGAAAACAGCCCAGGGCAGGCGCTGAGCAGTAAGGAAACCGGGCCAGGAAAAGTTCTGGTCCCTTTCAAGACACTCCTTGAGAAGGAGGCAGTTTCAAAAATATTATTGGGCTGTGTGTGTTGATGTGCATCAATAATCCTAGTCAAGCTGGACACAGGTAGGAGGGTCATGGTCTTGACCATCCAGAACAAAAAGCACCAGACTCTGAAAAATAGCTCAAGTGAAAGGGCTCAGGATGAGACTCAAGTGGTCGCGCACCTGCCTAGCAACTGTGAGGCCCTGATTTCAAAAACACCAGTACAAAAAAAAAGAAAAAAAACAGAGCAGAAACTTAATTGGTCCATCCTGTCCTCTCTTTCCTTTTCCTGTTGCTCCTTATAATCTTTTTCCTCCTTATGTAAAACAACAGGAGAAAGATGCAATCTATAAGTAAGAGCAATGACTCTGGGACCCATGAAGCTTGTATCCCAAAACACATCCCAGCAAGCAAAGGCAGACATCTATCTGAAGCTACTCCAAACAAGAGATGGCAATTCTTTGCTCCCAGCTGCTCTGTGGATCCCACCACCACACAGAGAACTGCAGTTCCCATGACACGGTACTTAGACTGCATGTCTGGGTCACAGCCAGGAATAACTAGAGAGGATTAGATAAGGACCAGGGAATGGTGACTGGAGGACCATCGGGAGAAGGGTTTCCAGAGCTCTGAGAAACTGTTGGACATGTTAAAATTGGGCCATGTAGGCTATCTCTGGTCCTTCAGCTTGGAGCTCCTAATATCAGCAATTTAGAGCAGAGTAGAAACACAGTGCTGAGCTGGTGCTGAGGAAAGGGCACGATGTCTGGAACACAGTTCCTGCAGAGGAGGAACCCTGTGGACACCAGTCAAGGAGGCCAGAACACCAGTGAGTACTTAGTCCATCAGGACCTGTGTCTCCCAGGACTGTCAAGAATAATAATGGAACATAACTTACCTAACACCGAGCTACTCCCCTCCCCCCTCTTCTCTAATTTTTCATTTTTTGGCGGCACTGGGGGTTGAACTCAGGGCATCACACTTGCTAGGCAGGGGCTCTTACACTTTCTCTACTCCACCAGCCCTCCTCCTCCCCTCTTATAAAGAATTTTCCACTCAGTTTCCACTTCCTGGTCATGAAGGAGACATGGAATACAAGCAAACTCAGATTCCGACTCATCTCAACCACAGAGCACAGGGCTGGAACATGCCCCAAAGTACTGAACACAACAAAATGGGTCAGAATTCCACAAAAGGTAGAAAAACAATATCCCAAGGAAGTCCCACTTTCATCCTGGCTGGAGTGACACACATTCCCTGTCCCAATGAATCAGAAAGAGTGTTCCTAAGATCTTAGCTCAGCGGTAGAGTGTTTGCCTAGCATGTGCAAGGCCTGGGTGGGACTCCTGGTGAAAGAAAAGATGAGAAAAAGGAAGAGACCGCTTCGCTGAATGGAAAGAGAAGCCTCTGGGGCTGGGAAGAGCCGTGAGACTCTGGACACCTTCCAGCTGTGTTTTGAGGAGGGTGTCTCTAAAATGAATAACCCACGGAATAGCCTTCTGGCTAGGCTGTCCCCTGCCCCGATCCCCACTTCCCCAACCCTCACCCCACTTTCCCTCACAAGATCAAGAGAGGCCCCAGCTCTATTCCACCAGGACAAATCCTAAAGTGGCTACAATTGCCTAATTGGCTGCATCCTAGAACCCTTTCCAAACCACTCCTACCACATATACCTCTGCCCCATCACACGAATCAAGTGCCAACTGCCATTGTCCTCTGTACTCAGCATGTTCCCCTGAGGTGTCTTCATCCACCTGTCATCTTCCCCAGCCACTGGTCTTAATGGTAAAATCTCCTTCCCCAGCCTCCCCTAGTGTAGCGCCTTTAGTGGGGATGTAGGGTCTCACAGCTTGTTCCCAGGAGAAGTGGCAGGTTTGAATCCCCAGAGATGTGAGCAGGTGGCAGGGACCTGCAGACTTACCTCCATCTGAAGCCATCCTCTCAGGTCTGGGGCACTGACCGTGGCTGTTGTCTGGAAGCCTCCAGAATGAGACAGTCAGGTCCAGGACCCAGAGGGTAACCTGGCTGCAGTAGATACACAGGTATCCAAGGAAAGAAGGTTAAAGACTGAATGAAAACAGAATCAGAACCTAGCACTCATGCATTCTGCAGTGGGGGAGGGGAGACAGAATTGTGTGGTGAGGACGGAAAGACACTTCACATACAGGGGTTCTAGTAAGTATACAAAGACCAGAAACCCCTCCAAATCAGACTGTGGCAACACAACCCATGTGTAACTCTTGTTTGCGACAAGGTCTTACTACGTCAGCCAGGCTGGTTTCAAATTCACTATCCTCCTGCCTCAGTCTCCCAATTGCTGATTATGCATGCCACCCCTACTGGCTGTCTTACACCTCTTAGGGAAATTTGTAAACCCTTTCTTTTTTCTTTTCTTGTTTTCTTTTTCTTTTTTTTTTTTTTTTGTGATGAGTTTTTTTGACATAGGCTCTCACAAACTATTTGCCCTGGCTGGCTTCAAACCACAACCCTCCTGATCTCTGCCTCCTGAGTAGCTAGGATTACAGGCATGAGCCACCAGCACCTGGCTTGTAAACGTTTTCTCATAAAAGGTAAAGCCGAAGTTTTACCTTCAGTTCTTCACCCATATCTCTCATTGTGTGCCCTGCCATCCCTTCCTGTTCTGTAATTGACTTCCTATTAAGAGCAGGTTGATGGTAGACCCTTGCCTTAATCCAATGATGGCTATATTTTCTGACCAAATTCAGAACACAAAGTGTGTAGTGTGTACACTTGAGGATCAAGAACACCAGTTGTGATCCAGCGTGTTCAACTGCTGTTGTGCACATCGCTTCCTTGAGAAGCTGTCCTGGGGGCGAGGAGTGTGGCTCAAATTTAGAGAATCTGCCTAGCAAGCCTGAAGCCCTGTGTACAAACCCCTGTAACACTAAAAAGAAAAGAAAAAAACTACCCTGCAAAGCTGAGTGTGGTGGTGTGCACCTGTAATCCCAGCACTCAGGAGGCTAAAACAGGAGGATTATGAGTTTGAGGCCAGCTTGGAAGCAGACTCTGTCAAAAAAGAAAGAAGAGGAAAGAGAGAGAGGGAGACCCCAAAATAAGGTGCCCAGAAGACGCCCAAACAATCCCCTACCTTAAGCTCTGCAGACCCCAGATGCCACGCCTTACCCTTTGCTGGAAAACCCCGCTAAATTAAAAAACTGCAGCTGGGTGGCTCACGCTTATAATCCTAGATACTCAGGAGGCAGAAATCAGGAGGATCGAGCCCCAGCAAATAGTTTTGAGACCGTATCTCGATAGTATCCAACACAAAAAAAGTCTAATGGAATGGCCCAAGTGGTAAAGCACCTGCCTAGCAAGTGAGAAGCCCTGAGTTCAAATCCCAGTGCCGTCACAAAAAAAAAAACCGCAATACAAAACCACAGCTCAAGAGCCAAACTGTGCAAAACAGAATGTACAGCAACAATTATTCCTCCCGTCCTTTTCCCAGTAACCAAGTTTGCTCCCCCAGAGGAAACCAGTATCATTTGTTTCTTGAAACTCTTTGCTTATTTCTTCAGAATCCGTTGGGATCGGGGTTTGAACTCAGGGCTTTGCACTTGCAAAGCAGGTGCACTTGAGCCGCTCCGCCAGCCCGATTTGCTCTGGTTATTTTGGAGATGGCTGGCCTCAAGCCAGATCCTTCTGATCTCAGCCTCCCAAGTATCTGGGATTACACGCACGGCCACCGGCCTGGCCTTGCACAAATTTCTTTTAAGGCAGGGTTCCCAGTGGCGTTCACTGGCCTTGAACACCTGGTCGCAGTGATCCTTCCGCCTCAATCCCCGGGTACCCGGACCAGGGGCGCATGCCATGGCGCCGGCTTCTTGCAGGCATACTTTATGCAACTGCAAGAAAATACAAACTATGTTCTTTATTTTCTTTCAGGTCTTTCTGGTTACAAAGTTAACAGGTTCTGACATTCTTGCCATTATAAATAATAATGCGCAAATCATTCTGCAATGCCATCTTGGTTGTAAAATAGTCCTAACCTCATGTGCTGTCGTGCGTTACTCACCACCGCAACACGGCGCTGACGTGGTCATGAGGCCTGAGTGCGACTCTCGCCCGACCACCAGCCTAGCGCGCAGTGTCACATAGCCTCGCTCCCGCGCGTGCAGGGCATCCCATACCCATCATGCCCTCTTTACCGCCAACACTTTGAAACTGGGCGGGGGAACCGGATGTGAAAGTGGGCAAGGACCAGAGGGGTTGCGAATCCGGGAGCCCCGCTGGTCCAGGCCTGTGAAATGGGTATACATGTGGAGGTGCACCTGGACTGCAGCGTCCATGCGCAGAACACGTTTCCCCCCAGCCCGCTCTAGCAGGCCCTGCGGTGCCTGGCACACAGCACACAGCAGGCAGACTGCATAGGGGTCACCAGCCTGCAAGGTGCCACGCGCGCCCAGGCCAGGTCCTGCGCCACTGCGCCACTGCGCCACTGCGCCACTGCACCACTCTACCACTGCACCCCCTGCCGGCTATCTGAACGCGAGCCACATGGACTACACTTCCCGGCATGCCTCGGGGGAGATTTCCGGCCACACCGGAAGGAAGTTGGTGAGCACGTGAGGTTTCCGAGGCAGCGGATGCAGAGGGAGCTGAAGTTTGCGGTTCCCGATTGCTGTAATGTTTCTCCAGTATTACCTCAACGAGGAGGGAGATCGGGTCTACACGCTGAAGGTAAGGCAGCGGACACGTTGTGAGGGGACGGAGCAGTGTAGACCACTGGGTTGCCGCGAGGAGCGCGTCCCACAGTGACCCGACCCTCGCGCTGCCCGGCCCGCCACCGTGCACTGAGCTGTTTTCTCTCCCTCTCGAGCAGAAGTTCGACCCCACGGGACAGCAGACCTGCTCGGCCCACCCCGCCCGGTTCTCCCCGGACGACAAGTACTCGCGGCACCGCATTACCGTCAAGAAGCGTTTCAGGGTGCTCATGACCCAGCAGCCGCGCCCCGTGCTCTGAGGGCCCCCCGATTTCACGTCAGGCCCCCCCGGGGTGAGGACCCCCCATTTCATGTTAGCACCCCGGGAATGGGGGCGCCACCCTAGCCCCTGAGAGCGCTGTCCCCAGAGGACCCCATTACTGCCTTCACCCTTTACAGGGAGCAAGTTTGAATTTTTTTGTGATTTGAATTATTGTCGGGTTATTAAATACAAGATGATTTGAAGAGCTCCATTTGTGTGTTGTTGGAGGAAAGCGTTAGTAGTTTTTGCTGAAGGAAGAAAGGCGGGGCAGGAGCACCCCGAAATAAGACGGTCGGGGAACGTCGCGGAGTGACTCGCACACGGGACCCACGCGCGCCCTGTAAGTAACACTGCACTCAAACTAGAAGAGGGCTTAAAAAATAACATGTGATAGAGTGAAGCACCCAGGAGACGAGTTACGTTTCCCCTCTTGCCATCATGTCTGTTAGTCCTTAAGTTCTGCAACTCTGAAATCCATAGTTTGGAGGTGGATCATAAGGTATCTACAGTGTTTGTGCAGTTGTGAACAGGAATGCCTTTAAACATATTTACTGTTCCTCTGGAAATACTCCCAAACTAGTTTTTTGGGGGTTTTTTTGGCCATACTGGGGCTTGAACTCAGGGCCTATACCTTGAGCCACTCCACCAGCCCTGTTTTGTGATGGGGTTTTTCGAGATAGGGTCTCAGGAACTATTTGCCTGGGTTTGATTCCAACCACGATACCCCTGATCTCTGCCTCCTGAGGAGCTAAGATTACAGGCGTGAGCCACCAGCACCCTGCTACTAGTTTTCTTCTTACATACACCTTCCCCTTTTTTTGTTGTGGTGGGGCTGGGGTTTGAACTCTTGCTAGGCAGGTGCACTACCACTTTGGCCACTCCACCACCCCATACACATACCTCAATATTCTGTCAGCCAGCTACTATGCTCGGTGCTCCACGGTTCTTAATTTAGACCACGAGGTATGAGAGATTCAAGCAGGCATCTTTGTTGTTATTCAAGCTGTAGCTGGGACTTAGAAATAGCTGGAGGCATGGCTCAAGTGTAGAGAGCACCTTCCTGGCAAGCATGAAGCCCTTAGTTCAAGCCTCAGTGCCACCAAATGTAGAAGTTTCTTAGGACTTGAGCTTCTATCATGGGACAACTACAAATGATTGCTAACCCAATTCCTTCATACCAGTGTGTGGGTGAGGTAAAATACTCTGCATACACATTGAAGAGACGCTAGTTGTCTCTTCCTGTCATGTTAATTGACTCATTATCTCTGTCTTCTCATCCCTGCTTTGGCAGTGGACCTGAATGTGTTCGTTTAGTGCTACTGATTTTAAAATTGCTTTGTGGAAACCGTACTCTGCGTTATTGCTGAACAACCATGCCTGCATAAGTCCAGGATAGTTGCTAACTGCTGAGAAAAAAAGAAATCCAAGTTATAGGAATGGTGAAATGAGATACTTGTCTCCCACCCAGAAACTTTTCTTAGCCCATTCACTTACAGGGTTTTTAGCACTGTATGTGAGAGAATTAAGCTTATCCTACTTAGGGGATAAAAAAAAAATCAAGTTTCCTTTTTTGGGGGTTGGGGCAGTGCTGGGGCGTGAACCCAGGGCTTGTGCATGCTAGGCAACCGTTCTGAGCTACATCCCAGCCTGGAAGCCTCTTAACCACCAACGTAAGTGAGTGAATTCTGGTACCCGCTTGTAACTTGGGGGAGGGGGAATGGGATGTGAACACACCCCTGGCCTCGGTGTCCTACCACTCGAGCCATGCCCTCTCCTCTTTTTCAAGATTGAATGTTATTCTGTCTTTATCTTACAAAAAAAAAAAAAAAAAAAGATTACCATTGTTCTATACCACCAGCTGTGCAGAATGAAATAAAGACTAACCGGGAAAGATTTCTGATCAGAATAGAAAAGGCAAAGTGTCATGAACATACAGGGGCTTAGCGATCCCCACCTGAGACACGCTTCAGTCGCAGGAGGTAAACAGATTGGAATTAGGAGGTAAATAGTAGGTTTGTGACATAACACAAACCCTAAGAGTCCCAGCCTTTTTTTTTTTTAAAGGAGAATCGAGTAGCTGAGAAAACCCGATCCATCCGGAGATGATCTGCGTCTCTGATAAAGGGGGTTCCAGTCCTGACTCCCTGGTTCCGACCACGGCCGAGATGCTGCGTGGTCCACTGGTCAGCGAGGCGCAAGGACCCATTCACGCGTTTCATTCAAGACCTATGAAAATGTCTAACTATTAAAAACTAGGAGAGAGTTCCCGAGACTGACTGGTAGGGCAACGCTGGGCATTCAAGTCTGAAGTGACAGTCGGCTCCCTTGGTGGATTGCAGGGTGACTATGCAGTGGGCACCCTTGCTGGCCGGCGCCCTTCCTCGTCCGGCTGGCCTGGACTATCTACACCTGCCGAGCAGCTGAGGCGGCAGGCGCACCGCGCTGGTTGAGATGGGGTCTCCGATGGTTTGCCTGGGCTGGCCCCAAACCGAGGTTCTCCCTAACTCTGCCTCCCTAGCAGCTGGGATTACAGCTGCTGGCCACCGCCAGGCCGCTATAGCAAATTTTAAGAGGACGAACAAGAGAAAAAGAGCACGCAGTCGGTGTAAGTTCGAAGGTACAGTTGTTCTAGAAAAGGCCTCCGGAGAGTTACTGGGGTCCGCCCGGCATCCGGAGAGAAGCTGGCCTTTTCCTCTGCTCTTGCGGCGGGGGCGTCTGAGGCGCCTGCCGCACAAGTGCCCCACGGCAGGCCGCTGACCAGAGGCGCTTTGCGGCGACTTGGCGACTGAAGTTCCCGTCGTGCCCCGCGCCCCGGCCGCCTGCGCAGGCGCACTGCGCGCCATCCCCGCGCAGCAGCGACGGGGCGGAACTCCCGCCCCCGGGACGGCGCCGCCCTCCGGCTGCTCCCCAGGCTTCTCCAGACCGCTAAGCTCGAATGAGGAACGAGCGACGCGGACAGGGGAGGGCGACGGCGGCGCGGGAACGGCCCGCCGGGCCCAGGGCGGGGGGCGGCGAGGTCACGTAACGGCCCTCAGGAGTCGGGCCGGGGCGCGGCGACTCCGCGGCCCGAGCTGTCCTGCGCGCCGCGGCTCCCGAACAGTTAGCGGCGAGTAAACAACAGCTGCGCGCGCAGCCGCCTTCACGAGCGCCAGACCCGCACCTGCGACCCCTCGGCCTCCTCCCTCCCGGTCAGGCCGGCCTGCTGACTGGGGTCTGCGCGGGGCCGGGCGGGGACGCGCGTCTGTCCCTGAGAGCCGTCCGGGGTTAGGGACAAGCTGCGGCCGCTGCCAGAAGTGTCCCGGCGCCGCCCCCGCAGCCCTCGGGGCGGGAGCCCGCGCCGCGCGTCCCCAGCCGGTGCGGGCCGTCTCCGTTATGCGTGCGCCCCTCTCCCGCCGGACCCTCGCGACTGTCCACCCCGGGAGCGCCAGCCGGCCCTGCGGGCTGTGCACCTGCTACAACAGGTGGCCGGTGCGCTCCGCTCCAGTCGCCCGAGCAGCGCGGGCCTGCACGCACGGGCTCGGCTAGAGCAGACGCGGGACTAGTTAGTGACCACCTGGCGGGAGCCGGGCCGGAGGGGACGCCATGGCCCGGAGCCTCAGCCTCGAACCGGGGCCCAGCCAGGCGGCTCCATTCTGAAGGGCGAAGGTGCACAGGACCAGCATCCTTGTGTTTCTGTTTTGGGGTCTCAGAAAATTTTTTTCAGCTTCTCGTGGTGCACTTTGTAGGACAGTTGGCTTATATTCCAAGTAGAAGGATGGATTTTTAATCGGGGCTTTTTGTGGGATGTGAATCAAGGTAATTGAGTTTTGGTGTGCTTTTTTTTTAAAGTTTTGTATTTTTGCAATCAAAAATAGCTAGCGTAGGAGGAAGATTCTTGCAAGGTTTTCCCTTTGTCTTTGTGAAAAAGAAAAATGCATCCTCCAGAAAGCACCACCAAGATGGCTTCAGTGCGGTTCATGGTGACACCGACAAAGATTGATGACATTCCCGGTTTGTCAGACACCAGCCCGGACCTCAGCTCTCGATCCAGTTCCCGGGTGAGGTTTAGCTCCCGGGAAAGCGTGCCTGAGACAAGCCGGAGCGAGCCTGTCAGTGACATGTCTGGGGCCACCACTTCGCTGGCAACCGTCGCCCTGGACCCCGCCAGTGACCGGACGTCCAACCCCCAGGACGTTACGGAGGGTAAGTTGAGTCACTGGGTTGCCCGCACGGCAGAGGTTTCTCCATTCTGCACTAGTGTTTGGGAACCAGGGCCTCGGATGATGCTCAGGATCCTTTGCAATAATGGCAGCATAGGGCCACTGCAGTGCTAATCTGGTTTGTGGGAAGGTATTCGGCGAGAAGGGAATAAATGTTTATTTTGACTTCCTCATTTTTGTTTCCTTAGAACTGAGGTGTATTTTGGTTAAAGGAGAATGGCAAATTTAATAGTTTTTAAGCACAGACAATATTAAACCGTAAAATTTGGTAAATTGGGGCTTTAACTTTTTTTTTTTTTTTTTTTGGTGGTACTGGGGCTTGAACTCAGGGCCCACACCTTGAGCCACTCCACCAGCCCTTTTTTGTGTGATGGGTTTTTTGAGATAGAGACTGGAGTACTGCTTGCCCAGGCTGGCTTCCAACTGAGATCCTCCTGATCTCTGCCTCCTGAATGAGTAGCTAGGATTATTGGTGTGAGCCATCAGCGCCCACTGGGCTTTTTAACTCAGTCTGCTGTTAAGGCCAGTTGCAAGGAGTAGTTACTGATTATATCTTAGTAGGTTTCTCCAAAGACTTCAAATGTCATCACAAACTTTACAGAATAGCTGATTTCATTATGCCATATTTAATACATGTACACAAGGTACTTTGATCCTATTTACCACCATCACCCTGATGTCCTCTCCCTTCTTGTGGGTTCCCCCTCCAGTAGTCTTCCTTTTACATCCTGTTTGTTTTAGATCTAGATAATTATATTTCTATAGAGAGGTTCAAGGAGCTAAACTCCACTCAGGCCGATGGTGGGTAACTCTGACTTGCCATTCTGCTGAATGGAGAAGTTCCAAAGAAACTTAGGGCTTGATTCACACATAATTTCACCATAGAGCTTCAGATGAAATGTCTTGAGTATGCGTCTTTATAGTGGGGAAGTGGCACTCAAGCCACTTCTGCCTCATGTTGAGCTTCCTAAGCCAGTTTGGGTCAGCTAGCTTGGAAGGCTTCATTTGATTTAGTGGGAAAAGGGAAATGAGGTAAAACAAGGAAGGTCTTAATGATCTAGCTCCAAAGTAAAAAGGTTTGAGAACTCTACACTGGCCGTTACATTTAGTTTTATACTGTATTCTGAACCAAGGTAAACTTCCTAGGAATCAAGAATTTCCCTTAATCTCTTTGTTGGGGGGAGAGGTGTTACTGGAGTTGAGCTCAGCCTCACACTTGCTAGGCACTCCTCGCTCCTTCTGATCTCTGCACTGAGTAGCTGGGATTACACATGTGCATCACCTGCGCCCAGCTCCTTTCCATTAAAGACTTAAAAGTGATATTCTACCCGAGTCTGAAAACCAGAACCTCGGCCACTGACTTGTGAAACAGAATGACCATTTTCCGGTCTCAGGAAATAGTGTTCCTCCTAACCAAAAGGGTCCAGGAAACCAGATGATTTTAGTTCCTGAATTCTGTTTGTTTTCAGTGTCTTCAGACCAGGTAGATTTGGTTAAAATGAACAGTTCTAGAACTCATTCATCCTTGACTAATCATTTCTTCTTTTATGGAAAGATTAAAAGCTGGTCCTAGACTTACCTATTTGCAACTTCTTGACAAACCTTACAGTATGATAGATATACTGTATTAAAATTATAGTATGGAATAAAAAGTAATCTGTTACTTCCTCTTCAAATAAATTCTAAATTATAGTGTCAATTTTTATACATTATACTATACTTAAGTTGTAAAAACTTCAGGTAAAGACAATACCAGTGGTTTTTTATATTGTTGTAAGGTAATTTATAGTTGAATGTTAGACTTGTAATTTACATGTTACGGACTTGTATTTCAGTAATGTGGTAGACATGTAGAACAGGATCCTTTTCCAGGCTGCTGTAATCTTACCTTTAAAAGCAGTATAGTCTCACATCATAGGGGTAAAAATGGGGACATGTCTAGGTGAGAGCTATGTTGTTTACATAGGTAGAGAAGTTAAAGCTTGGCTTTTTGTATAGGGCATTCGTTATTGAACTGTCAGGACTCTGGTACCCAAATGAAAGGGAAAGTAACAGTCCTGACCTTCCTTAGCATTTTCCCCTATTCTTGGGAATCTAGCTTCCTAGTTTCCCAATGACCTACTTTTGCATTCTTTCTATATTTAAAAAAAAATACACAGTTATCAAGCGATTCAAGAACCTCATGTTAATCTACATTCGTCTCTGGGCTGCATTCAGTATAGAAAGCTGCTACTTCCTTTTCTGCAACTGACTGTATCCTTAAGTTCATATTGTTTGCTGTTTTGACTGGTAAAGTTCCCTGAGTTGTTGGGCCCTATCTGCATCCTTTTGTGGCTGTGACACTGGAATGATTCTCCTCTCCACGGTTCCCACGCCTCCCACCTCTCTTCCTATGGAGGAACTTCCCACTTGAAGTTTCTTTTCTTGTCATAGGCCTCTTACTCACATTACATCACACAACATGGGGTGACACATGACATTTTAAATGCTTATTTCCGTGTTATATTTTTTCTACTCTTGGCTTCTGGGTAGATAATTTGAAAGTTTCCATGGGCATTCATAATACTGTCTCGTTAGTAAAAATCAATAATTTTAGTGCTGGATATAAGACACAAGCAGTGGTATGTCTGCCTAGCAAGCCTGAAGCCCTGAATTCAAATCCCAGTACTGCCCAATAAATAAATAAGAAGAAGATGAAGAATCTTACACCACATTAGCTTATGTTTGAAGAATGCGTTTGAGAGACACAGTTGTTAAGTGGGCTCCTCCAGAAAGCGAGCTGTGGAAACAGTGTCAGAGTGGGGTTTTTTTTTTGCCTAAACAATTCAGAAAAGCATGTACAATTTTATGTTTAGAATGTATCAATTCTATAATGGGTTTTTTTTTTGTTTTGTTTTATTTTTTAACAGATAGCAAGTTAGAGCTGCTCTCTTAAATCTAGTTCTGGCCAAACTCCATTTTAATAAATGAGAAAAGTGAGGTTTCTAGATATTTGTAGACAATATGGTGAGCAGCATAGTAAAGACTGAAGTGCAGGTTTCCTTTTCCTTTTTCTTTTTTTTGGCCATGCCGGGGATCAAACTCGTGGCCTCATACATGTAAGCAAGTACTATACTTGTTTACTGTATATAAACTATATATACTATATACCTGCAGCCCCAGGCCTGCTGACATCTATGCAGTACTCATTCTTAAATTATTTTACTCCTGCCAAGACTAAAACTTTTTACATTTGCTTAATAAGCATTTCATTTAATTATTGTTAAGGTAATATTTTAAAAAGCATAACATATTTCTAACATTTTACAACTCAAATGCTTCCTGGAACTCTGATGTACCTGAAGCACTCTGGTGTGGATTGTAGGAGACATGCAGGTAAGATAC